ACGACCGTGGAGGTAAACCATCAGAGACAGGCTTGTTTCCCGGCCCCCAGGACTCGACAGTGCGCCTACCATATCAAACAAACGAGACCACTTAAGCGCGACATCGATCACAAAGGTCCAATTCGTTCTCTGCTGAAAACGCTCACCAAAACGTCTCCGTCTGCCTTCGCCGCCGGTCATGTGGTGGGGCTGTCGTGTCGTCCGAGCGAGCTTGAAGTACCTCCCGGTACGCCTCGAGCCTTTTGGGGCGGAGAACGGCCTCGGCCTCGTGGACAAGTTCGCTATCGCTGAGCCAGAAGCCTTTCGGGAGGACGTACGGGCGGCGGCCGTCGACGATGTGATAACTTTCGGCAGGCGGTCTGGGCTGTTTCACGCTTTTCGATTTGCGAGCTACCGTCTTGCGAGGCGATCGCTTTGACTTTTGCGCTGCTGCATCCGCGTCTCGCGATTGAGACGGTTCTGGATCGCGATCATCCGTCGCGGTTGCCGCTGCATCTTCGTCGGGATCTGCTTCCACCGCCACCGCCACTCTGCCTCGTGTCTTTCGCGGCGAACTGCTTGCAAAGGATCCTGGCAGCACGCGCGTCCTCCGGACCGAAGCCGCCGCCGGTGCGGCCTTGCCCGCACCGCTGTTGTCTAAAGGCATCAGCGAGCCCAATCGGGGCTCTTTGATTCGATCTGGCTGGCCGCTCTGGCGGAAGAGCTGTTGGGTTCGTCCGAAGGTGCTGCGCCACCGAAATCTCTCGCCCGGCTCCGGACGGCGAATGTTTCACTGCAGAGCGGAGAGCGTCTTCCCGCCCTTCCTTTTGGGGCGGCTGGACTTGGTTTGCGCTCGTTCAAGCGGGAGGGATTGCTTTGAAAGGCAACCGGGAAGAAAAAAAAAAAAGAAAAAAAAAATAAAGAAAAAAATGAAATGGAATATTCTGTGGCAGTCCCCGATGGATTAGCTGAGCCCAGCCAAAGCGGCGGTGGAAGCCACAACTGCTGTCGGTCTACCTGAAACCGCTCTTTAACAGCCTTTGTCCCCTTTGGCTTTGGCTTTTGCCTCCCATTGGGCCCACTCAGTGTCATGGACCAGAGAACCCTGCACATTATTTGCTAGTGTGCCACCTTTTCACAGTTGCGTTTGGTCTGAGTGTGAGAGTCTTCTCTTTGTGTGTAGTAAGAGAGTTTCTTTGTGTTTCTTGGGCTTCTTAAGACTCCAAATACATTGTCCTGTCTAGTGACCCCTAGACATCTCCTTTTTGCCCTTTTTCACTTTTCAGGATTGGTATTTAGGTCAATGCTCTATTTTGCCACCCATAGCCCAGGGTGAGGATTTAGAGAGCACAGTCTCACAGTAAGAACCTCTCCTATATTATCTGCTTGAGCAGAGGAGGAGGAAAACTGTTGACACCAGGTTTCCGTTCCACTTAATACTCAGAGTATTTGTCAACAGCACAAGCCAGCACCCAGGTCTGCATTGGCGGTGGCTTGCTCTCCCATGGGCATCGTGAGAACAATAACTGACAGTCACAATAGGTTTGGGTCCGTCTTGTGCCTCTTGCTGCTAACCAGTCAGTTCTGCCTAACACCATGTAGCAGTGGTGGTGGAAGACACCAATTATGTAGCCAGTTTGTGTCTGGAGGCTGACAGAGGGATGATATCAACTCTGACCTGTGGTGGTGATTTTGGCAATGTTATGAATCACCCTCTGGAAACCTCTGGAACCTTCCAGAACATTCCTTCATGGAACCTTCTGGAACCTTCTGGAACCTTCTAGAACATTCCTTCATGGAACCTTGTGGAACCTTCTGGAACCTTCTTTGCTTTCCTGACTTGTCTTGTTGTCATTGGTATCATTGGTATCATTGCATTACTAATTGCTCTTTCTGGAACTTTCTTGGAGTCTTGACAAGGAACACTCTCAAAAGGTATAAAAGGGGGATGGGGGACCTGTCCCATCCCTCAAGTGAATTATTGTTTCCAATACAATCATCACTCCTCTCAGTTCCTTGTCTGCCTTGTCCTGTCCTGCCCTGTTCCTGACAGGCAAGTTTGTTGCAACGAGAAAACAGGAAGAAAACTTGCTTTGTCCTCCTTGCAATGCGCAGATTGGTGATATAATTAAACCACTCGTGATGACAGAAGACTTTATGAAAAGCTGAGTTTATCAGTGCATCTGACAAAGGCTAGGCAGAAAGATGTGCCAAAAAGAAAGGAGGGTATGTCTCCTTTGCACACACGCTCTCTCCACAGTGGAAAAAGACTTTTCCGTAATCTCCCAATTGGCTGAACCAAGTCTCATACATCTTGTCAAATCAGCCTCCTTCCACCACCAGCACTGTGCCATTGTCCCATAACGTGGTGCCTCCGTCTCTCATATCACCTCCAAATTCAGCACTGAGAAGCAAAATCACACAAAACATAAAGCTGCCTGCCACATGCAAGACAGTTGTCTATTTACATGCAAAGGAATAGAGCCTTGGCAAGATCAGCCATTTGAACAGATGAGGCAAACTTTGAAACTGGGAAGCCAGGCAAGGTCTGTACGTGGAACTCTAACCCCTGCCATCTCCAAGGCTTCCTCTGAAAAACCACTTCCTAAACTCCGGAGGTTCTTGGGTTTTGCAGGACTTTTTTTCTTTTTTCTTTTTCTTCATTTTGGGCGTGACTGCCATCCCAAAAAGCTAAAAACAGATCTGCTCTTTTTGCATGAAGCTAAGTTTGGTGCAGTTAGCCCAAAGCACCAGAATACAGCTGCCCTTGCAGATGTGGGAGGCCTGGCCAAAGTTAGCTTGTATGCCACGTGTGCGGCAATAAAAGATACGTACTGGATATCTATTTTGTCTGGGAATCCTCCCATATCTGAGCAAAAAAAAAAAAAAAAAAAAAAAAAAAAAAAGCTGGCTCATATCTGCCTCATCTGTATGTGCCTGTGTTTTAAAGAGGACACAGATATTCCTCTTTGATGAGGATCTTGGATTATGCTTCTCTGGACCTGATGCGGCAGGGACTCTGTATTTTTCATACTGCTGAAGATCTTGGGAATGGGATTGGCGTAACTGTGATTGCGTTTTAGGTTGATTGGACCGAAAGAGTCACGCATTTGAAAGTCATAAGATAGCAATGGAATTATAGAAGCCAAAAGCGCTAATTAATGTGGTGCGGGCGTGTGGCAAAATGGTTACCGCGCTTGACTACGAATCAAGAGATTCCAGGTTCGACCCCTGGCACGCTCGTGTCACTTTATCTTTAATTTTCATGGCCTGTGGGTCTGGTGTCAGCCTTAATTGATGGCCAAGGACCCAGTTTCTGGTTTGCAGCTAACAAGTTGAGGCACTTTCGAAAAAAGCATTGGGCTTTGGTCTAGGGGTATGATTCCTACTTAGGGTGGAGGAGGTCCTGGGTTCATGTCCCGGAAGCCTCCTGTTCCTTTACGTCCACCCTGTGGACTTGAATGGTGCGAAGCCTCTCATGTGGAGAATCTTCATAGACCGCTGCACTCACTGGCTTCTTTGTTGTTGTGAGACTATCCCCACTCCTTTGGACCCTGGGATCAGGCCCTTGAGTGAGGGAAAGCAAATAAAAGAGTTAACCCCACTTTATTGGGCTGTTGTCTAGGGAGTGTTTTAGCCATACTACTCACCTAGCCCACAAAGTATCCCTACTCATCTGTCTAACAGGGGAATCAACACAAAAACTGAAGAGTCAGAAGGGCAATCCTGTGAGGATCAGTGCAAAAGTCTTGCGCAAAGCTCCCTAACCACTGGCGGAAGATGGGTGTCCAGCCCTGGGCAAAAGATGCAAACAAGAAAAGGGTGTGCTCTCACTGTAAACAAGACCAATCTCTCTGAGAGCAACGGCTCTCCATCTACTTTGGCAACAAAGGGCGCTTCGCTCTTAACAAGAAAAGGGCTCATGCTCTAAACAAGCTTTATCGCTCCACGCCGACTCAAGTCTGTTGTTGCCCTTCTGACACACCAGGCACAATCACCAACATCCCCAACTTGGAGAGAAAGAGAAAAACTCTGTTATGGATAATCTCCCCAACTTGGAGAGGAAGAGAAAAACTTGTAACTTCTTTTTTCTGCCACACATTCCCACCAGACCCACATCATCAAAAAGTCAGGGCGTTTGTCATTTTGGAGGGTCACAGATTGAAAGGAAAAAGTCTTCGGATAGATCCTAGGTCGTCTAATGGTTAAGATTCCACCCTCTCACGGTGGCGATCGGGGTTCGATTCCCCGCCTGGGAGATTTCTGCAGTGGTCCAGACTACAAAGGCAGCTGTTCAAATTCTCTTTTGCAGTATGTATGGAATACTTGTCACCATAAGACAAATGGTGTTTGCTTTCCCAAAGCAAGCAGCTAAGTGGCAGTTGTTCCTGGGCTTGTCCTCTTCTTTCCACTAATTTTTGGACATTTTGAATTCATCCTGTGGCAGTTTTCCCCCATATAGCAGCACCAAATCAACTTGGAATTGCTGTTGCGCTTGGTAATGTCCTCTTGCAATGAAGCGATCTGGAAGCATAGTCGGGCCAGACCATTTCCCCAAATGCTTTTCCGTTTTTATTGGGAACGATCCATCGCCTTTCCAATTTTACCATTAAATTGTACAAAAACTAAAAAACCGTTTTCCTTTTTTTCCCTCCTTTTCCTCTTTTTTTCCTCTTTCTAGCCAGTTGTGTGCAGCCTCCAAAAATTTAAAAAAAAAATTTCAAAAAGAGAACCAGCTGCTTTCTAGGTGCAAAGCTTGTTAAACGATTAATATCGTGTTTTTTACGAATAGAAAATATCACGAAATGTATTAATTTGAAACCTTAAGTGTGACAAGGCATTATTAATTGGAGGGAGGGGCCAGTGAGCAACCACACTGCCTCAGCCACCCTCTTCAATCAGAGTGCAGCATTTTTGTGGTGTGGTTGAACTTGTGTGAAAAGGACAACGCTTCCAATATTCTGGCCAGAACTGAGCATCACAGACAATGCTGAAGGGGGGTTGAAGGAAGCACAAAGGACCGCCCGATGTGGGGGGTCGAACCCACAGTCTTGTGCTTACAAAGACCCTGTGTCGGGTTAGCTAAGGAATCACACGCTCTACCGATTGAGCTGACCAGGCTGCACTGAATTCAAGCCCACCACCTGCCCCAGGCCAGATTTCAGATCCCTTTTTTGCCAACGCTGACTAAAATGAAAGCAGTTTTGAGTTTTAACTTTTTCAAGCGCTATTTCATAATATGATGGCATATGCTGCTGAGCATTTGAGGATGTCTGCCCTACAAACTGGGCAAACTTGCGCAGAAAATCATTGTAAGGAGAGAAAAAGTGCCAACTCTGCAATGCAACGGGGACCATGCACCTTGCCTGCTTGACCAGAGAAACAACAGGCGGCAACAGTTTTGGTCAGAGTCTGGAAATGAGCAATAAAGGGACATGGTGGCCCAATATGCAAGTCCTGATGCAGTTGTCATAAGTTGCACAGTCAATTATAATCTCCCGGGATTGAACCAGGTGCCTTAAGGTAGCAGGGGGGACACCGCTCAGAACAGCAGGTGGCTTCTTCAGTCTTACGCTCTCCCAGATGAGCTAAGACAGCTATGAATATTCGTAACGAAAACTGCATCCTTAAGTTGGGCGCTGTGATCTTTCCATGTTTCTCCTTGGCCTTCTTGAGCGGATTGTTTCATCCACTGCTTCTGTTCAGCAGCATGTTAGGCGGAACTGACTGGTTAGCAGCAAGAGGCACAAGACGGACCCAAACGTATTGTGACTGTCAGTTATCGTTCTCCCATGGGAGAGCAAGTCACTGCCAATGCAGACCTGGGCGCTGGCTTGTGCTGTTGACAAATACTCCAAGTATTAAGTGGAACAGAAACCCAGTGTTACCAGTTTTCCTCCTCCTCTGCTCAAGCAGATAATATAGGAGAGGTTTCTACCCTGTGCCGGTCACGCTTGCCTAGCAACTATTACAGTGTGCATATCATCATTGTGTATCAATAATTCATAACAGAGTTTTTCCTCTTTCTCTCCAAGTTGGGGAGAAGGACCACTCACAAACACACATCTCCACTTCATTCACTCCTTCCACTCACTCACTCAGAGTAGACTATTTACATTGGAGATGGCATTTATTGAAGGGTGGGTTTGTAAAGTTAGGTGGGATTAATGAGGCTGCTCCTCCCAGGGCAGCTATTTATAGGGACAGGGGAATTAGGAATAAAGAAAAAAGAGAGAGTGAAGAAAAGAAGAAAACAGTTTGTAGTGCAAACAGTCTACTCTGAGTGAGGTAGTGGAAGGAGTGAATGAAGTGGAGATGTGTGTTTGTGAGTGGTCCTTCCCCAACTTGGATACAATATGATGATATGCACGCTATAATAGTCAATTAGGCAAGTGTGTCGGGCAAAGGGTAAAAATCTCTCTTGTTTTATCTGCTCAAGCAGAGGAGGAGTAAAACTGTCTACACTGGGTTTCCATTCCACTTTATACTCAGAGTATTGGTCAACAATGCAAGCCAGCACCTGGGTGTGTATTGGCAGTTGCTAACAATAGGTTTGGGTCTGACTTGTCCCTCTTGATGCTAACCAGTTAGTTCCACATAACATGAAGAAAAATGAAAGGATGGAAGAATAAAACAAGGCGACACTGACAAGAAAGAGAACATTAGAGATAAGAAGCATTTATAAGATTGTGTAAGCATATAAACAAGGGGCTCTCAAGTTACTCAGATGCTAATTGTAACTCTGGGAGCTCTTTACAGTCCGCCACACACCAAATGGAGATTGGGCCTGGTCCAACTTGATTCAATGTTTTGGACCCAAACACCAATTTTCTTGCTGTTGTCGGACATTTGAATTTAACATATTGCTAACTTTACATCAAATTTTGCCAACTTCGAATAAAATAAGAAATGTCTATTAATGAAGTTGAATTGAATTGAATTCAAACATTGAACTATTAAGTTTTCTCAAAGTCCAGCCCAATTCAGTCTGCGGCAGACCCTAGAGCTCTTCTCACTATCAAACATAGAGAAGTACAGAGGAGGGAAAAAAGTCTTCAGACACTCCGAATTTTCTGAATTCTCAGACAGAAGTCCATGGCAGAGAACTCTGTCAGTTTCCAATATTTTGTAAGGAGATTTTGTACACTGAAAGGGGAATAGTAGTCAAATACATTAGAGAATTTTGATGAGACGTCTGTGGCTCAGTCTCCTGATAATAGGAATTTTACATGAAAATTTTGGAAATGAACTGCCTGTCAATTTTCACTCTTCCTAATCTGATTTACGCACTTTGCACATAAAGGAGACTGCCCAACTGCCTAGGGATGGGGTGGTGCCTGACAGTCTGTACCCCAGGACCACCTAATTTAGCATTTATTTTTGGCACTTGTACATACACGCATAGGGTTGGTTGGGAGGGACTTGGAGCATTTGTGGTGGATGCACCCAGTCAGGGGGTTGACTTGTCAATTTTCTGTCTCTCTGTTCTTGGGCCATTTCTCTTTTTCCTTTTTCTTCCATCTGATTTCTGTCCTTTGGCACCAATACAGAGTCCCCTCAAATCCATCTGGCTCGTGATGGTGAGGGTAGCAAGAGGTGGTACACACCCAGATGAGTACATGGTCCCTTTGGGGGCTCCTCTTAAGCGGCCGCAGGTGGGGAATGCAGCTGGCCCCACCACCGACTGTGTGACACTGCTGGCTCTGTGTTGGAAAGTGGATCACAGGTGCTTGCCTGCTGTTATGAATCACCCTCTGGAAACCTCTGGAACCTTCTAGAACAATCCTTCATGGAACCTTGTGGAACCTTCTGGAACCCTCTTTGCTTTCCTGACTTGTCTTGTTGTCATTGGTATCATTGGTATCATTGTATTACTAATTGCTCTTTCTGGAACTTTCTTTGGGTCTTGACAAGGACGACTCTCAAAAGGTATAAAAGGGGGATGGGGGACTTGTCCCATCCCTCAAGTGAATTATTGTTTCCAATACAATCATCACTCCTCTAAGTTCCTTGTCTGCCTTGTCCTGTCCTGCCCTGTTCCTGACACCTGCTGCAGGGGCGACGGTGGTGGCATCGTCGACCCTGCGAGGGTGTTGGTGGCCGCACCCTGCACAGTCCCTGACACCTGAGAGTTCGATCTACAAGTGCCTGCCTCAGTCCAATTTGTTGAAGTTGCAGTGTAGAAGGCGACGTTGTGAGTGGAGGCGGCATTGCAAGAAGGTTGAAGAGCGAGGAACCAAGGCTTGAATTGAGAACTTGTACAAGGGAGCAAGCGTAGCAAGTGAGCAAGGGCAAGTGGGTAAAGAGAGCTTGTTTTAGACAGGGACTGGCAAATTGGAGTGAAAGTTCCTTTTTCAATAAGAAAACTCTGCCCAATTTATACTCCTGCAGGGTGTTTGACCAGTTTTCCTGTTTTGCCTATCTGAACAAGTTGCAAACTGCTTCAGACAGGACTTTGCTCTGGGGAGGTGTTGTAAACCCCTTCCCACAGAGGGAGGGTGATTTGAAATTTTCAGAGCATTTCAATTCAACCAAGCTCTGTGCGGAGCCCAGTGTGCAAGCACTGGTCTCCCCACAGAGAGGGGAAAATGATTTGAAATCTTCAGGAGCATTTCAAATCAACCAAGGTGTGTCCAGAGGTCTGTGTCCAGTGACCAGTCCCTGGTTCAACATTGGTTCAGACAACAGTCAGCTGACCTGGAGCTGCTGTGAGCTGCCCTGGTTCAACATTTCTCTGAACTCATTGAGTGTGATTCTAATCGCATTGTCTCACTGGCGAAGCCTAGGAAAGCAAAGCAAGAACCATCGCTGTCTTCACCTAACTCTTTTCATTGGATTCAGATTAGGCCTTTCGGCTTACCTGACTTAGTGTAAGTCACATCAGCGGCGGCAACGAGGCTGCCATCGACATAGGAAGCTGGCTTCCTAGGCTCAAATCTCAACGTGTCTTGTGCCTCTTGCTGCTAACCAGTCAGTTCTGCCTAACATGAAAAGGCCAGCCCAAAGATGTTCTTGGTTGTGGCTGTGTGGGTGTTGGCAACACAAAACAAATTTCAGCAAACTGCACAATGGTTTTCCATGTCAGATACCTTGTTTCTGCTTTTTGCAGAATCAACCCTAAAGGTCAACAGAGCTGATAAGCATGATGTGTGCAGGGATATCAGTATCTTAAACTGATAATGAGACAAACACTGGATTCTTATTGTACCACATATCTGTCACTCCCAAATGATGGGTGCCATAACACCACTGGAACATTACAGATATCCTTTGTTCAGATTTTTGGTTCCAACACCTTGAAAGGGACCTCACATGATAAGTGGAGCCAGCCAATCAAGAAGTAATTTCCAACAGGGCATAAAGTGGGCTATTGGCAACAAGGGCTTCAGCTGTTGGTTGGAAAATTTACGGAAACCTGAGATCCTAAAATTTTTATAGAAATCATAAATATAAGAGTGAGGAAATAGTGAAGTCTCAGTCAACATAGTGGCTTGTATCACCCCCTGTCACGGGGTAGACCTGGGTCAATTCCCGGACTGGGAGTAGAGTTGAGAGTGCCTGTGGTGAGCATGCAACCGGGTGGGTTGCAACTTTGTCTTCATAAGTGATCCTCAGATTATGCTGAGGGGAAATTCTCAAGGGCAACCTGCTCTTGCCCAATCATCCAGTTGCTGTATAGCAGTGCTGGCACGTGGACGAGCTTGAGCCTTTGATACTCCAGGAATTCCAGGACTTGCCACTGCCAGTACTGTAAAAGAGGGAGATTAAGTTATGCAGGCACGATTCCAACTTTTCAAATAAACAGGTGCGATTCATAACAATGGTATGGCTGAGCAAATTCCCATGCTGCAGAAGAGGATTGTACTTCCTTTTTTGTCCTTACAAAGGCTTTTCCTTTCCTTTTTTTTTCCCCAGCATTGCAACCTTTTTCTTCAACAATGAGAAATAGAGAGATCTCATGGTATCAGAAACCTTGCTGCTTTGCCTGCTTCTGCATCAACACTGTGGCATCTCCTGCAGGCCAGTCTGCCAGTTGCCAAGCCAAGCCAATCTCTCACAGTTTCTGGACTGCCACCTTGTTGTTCTGTAGCCAAGACACAGCCACACGTGGCCCAGGCACC